GCACATTAAATATAAAAAAATATGTTAGAAAAATATTTTCATAAAATAAAATTTATAAACTAGTTAATTTTAAGAATAAGATAACAAAATTAAAGTAAATACTAAATACCTTTAAACTCAAATTATGAATCATATTACTAAATTAAATTAAACTTTTATTTCTAAGATTTTAAATTTTTTATTTAATAAAATCATAAATAATAATGATAATGATTGGACAAGATTCAAAATTTTAAGTGTTTAAATATTAAATGAAATTTAATTTAATAATATTGTTCTTTCCTTTTTCTTTTTATTTTTTTGTAGAAATTGTTTGATGTTAAAAGATTTAAATTAAATTTTTTATTTAATTTTTGTAAAATTACTAATTATTACATTCAACTTTTAATTATGAATAAATTAAAAAAAATTGAAATATTAACAATAAAGATTATGGAGTTTAGTGATTTAACAATTGGTGATGGATTTGAGATAGTAATAATGAGCATAACTTCCGGGAACTACATGCTTATTTTGATAAAAATACTCCTCGTTTAAGGCAAAATAAATGAATTAGTAATGATACTTCATCTATTTAACATTTGGTTTTATTGTGGATTTGGTTTAAGACTTTTTTTTATATTCAAAACTTATTTAGTTTAACATTGAGTTTTTTCTTATTATCATACTTACTGAACTTATCTTATATTATGTATTTTAATATTTATTGTTTAGATCTTAAAAATTATCTGTATTTAATTAAATTTATAATTTTAAATCGTCTAAATGATGATTTTCAAGTTAATCTTATGATAATTATTTTCTAAGAATAAAATAAAAGAATATGCAATAGTAAAATCTAATAAATATATTTAAAAGATTATTTTTTAAGTTGATCGATTAAACCAATCGAGTAAATCAATCCAAAAGATTCAATCAGACCCAATGACCAAACTAAATCAATCATCAGGTCGGGTCTAAAAACATTGGACGTGATAGAGTAACTTTAAATCTTTAATATTATCGGTGTTCAACTTTTATTTGACTGAGTTTTAATATTAGACGTTTAAAAATAATAATAATATTCAAATAATTGTTTTGTATAATTTTTATTCATAATTTTGATATATATTTTAATTAATTAATTATAAATATAAAATTTTAATAATTAATTATTTTTATTTTATTAAATAAAAATTAAATCAATTAAAGTTTGATAGAGAGTATAATTTTTTTTGAGTGGTAATATAATGAATATTTTTTTATATTACATTTTATATTATTTTTATATGTTTTTAAATCAGTAAATACAATTTATATTATGGGTTTTAAATAAATAAAAACAGATAATCATTTAAATAATATATAAAATTATATAAAAAGTAGTATAAAAATTATTTTTAAATTATTTTTTTGTCTTTATATTTAAAAAATTATGACCTAATTATAGTTAGTTGTAAGAAAGTTTACTCTTATCTTATGAATCAAAATTTAAATTTTAAAAAAATTAATAAAAAGATAATTATATATATTTTAATTTTAGTATAGATAATATGTCTAAAATATTAATTTTGAAGTGTATCTAAATTAACTTAAAAATATTTTTGGCCGTTAAAAAAAAAAAGGGATTTGGCCTCGTCAGTTATCACAATATTGTATTATTGCGCGACGCACACGGAAGTCGATCTGTGGAGAAGACTTTGCAACGTAAGCCGTCCTTTTTTTTATGGTTAAATGTCCGATTTAATTAATGAATTTTTAATTTTTAATAAATTTAGTCTTTAAATTATTTTTTCATTTTTTGTTCCGTAAGCAGAAAAAAAAATATTTTTTTAATTTTTTTCACTTTTGTCTATTATGTCCATATAATTGATACTTTCTGTGTCCTAAGTTTTTGTTTTATATAAATTTTTTATTTCTAAACTAATATTTTTGTAAATTTTAATTCTTAAATTTTTGTCTTATGCATATTTAGATCATTAATAAAAATTTTTTAAAAATACTAACTAAATAAACTTAACGGATAAATTTGACAAAAAAAAAAAACTCTTTTATAATTGAATGATGAAAAAGTACAATAATAATAATAATAATAATAATAATTCATGAACTAAAATTATTTAAAATTAAAATATCAAAAACTCAATTGGGCATCCAACCCCTTTTCTATGTTGTAGTATAAGATAAGCAATTCAAGATGCATGGGAATAACAGGGAATTCTTACACATTTTAATTAGGTGATGATATAGAGACAATTTTTTTTGTATCATTTTTTTGTATCTTTTTTACATAACATTAAATGGGTGGATATATTCAATATTTTAGATCTTAAATGAATAAAAAAATAAATTATTTAAATGATATGTAAAGTAATATAAAAATATGATACAAAAAAGTTATCTCTAAATCATTTTCCTTAAAATAATAAGTTCAAATTAAGATTTGTTTCAAGTTCAACTTAAATTATCTCTAATAAATACTTTGTGATTCCAAACTTACCCTTGTACTAAAATTTGGATTCACTAGGTGTTTATTTATAATAATTTAAGTATTCATACTCACTTTTAAACATTTTTAAAACCCATCTTAATTCAAAATTATTTTTTCAATCTAAGAGTAATTATCCTATATGATATGTTTAATTTGAAAGAAATGGAGGGACAGTGAAAAGAGGGAAATGAAGAGATATAATATCTTCCTGTTTCCCTTCGTTCCATTCCCTTTCCCTTCTCTCATTTGAAAAATTAAAGTAAAAGACTCTCATCTTCTCAAATTTTTTACTAATCAAAGATAAAAATTTGCATTTCTTCTATTCCGCAAACCAAACTTATTAATAATTTTACACTTAACAACAAAAAATGACTCACCATGTCTTTACGTCACATTATAGTCTTACAATCTTACATGACAATAACTATACTGTAACTAATATTTTTACTTGATAGGGCCTCATTTGATGTGATTAACTATAACCAAACTTCATTATAAGAGATATATATAAGATCACACGTGTCAGTAAAACAGTCTTCAAATACCAACTATATATTTAAATCATTGAAACAGACATATCATAGAGCTGAGCTTATGGGGACATTTAACTACCCTCTTGATATGGGTGTCTAAAACATTAGTCGACGAATCTATTTGTTGGGATGTTACCACAGTTGTTATAAAGTGAGATTAGTGTTTATTGGTTGAATTTTTAAAAATTTAAGAGAATGAATACTTAAAATTAAATTGTTTTAATAAAGAAATATAAAAAAAATTAAAATAATTTTATTTTTCCTTTATATATATATATATTATGTTAGTCTTTTTTAATAAAAATTTATCAAAAATGATGTAATTTTAATGTATTTTTCTCTTAATTTTTTAAAAATATGATTGATAAACATTTTTTCTTTATAAAGAAGGAACATTATTGAAACTTTTTTCATTAAAAAATTATTTTTTTCTTTATGGATACTAATTAATGCACACTTTAGTTTAA